GACAACATGGATGGATCTCGAGATAATCATGCTAAGCGAAATAAGCCAGACAGAAAAAGTTGAAAATCACATGATATCACTTATATGCGGGATATAAACCTACAAGCAACAAATGAGCAGGACAAACAGAGATTCATGGACATGGACTATAGACTAGTGGTTACCAGAGGGTAGAGGGGATGGGAAGGGGGAAGGTAGACGGGGTTAAAGAAGTCAAATATGTGGTGACAGAAAGAAATCTAACTATGGGAGGTGAACACACAGTGTACCTGTATATATGCCTTACTATTAAAGTGTACAGCTGAAACATTGGATTTGTTAATCAATGTCACCATAAAATAAAAAATAAAAATTAAAAAAAAAAAGTCATCAAGGTTGACCCTATATCCTGAAGATACAAATTATGGTTTGGATTTGATGTATGACGTGTATATTTGCTTTGGAGGATACTAATTTTATGATCACGAGCCAAAGGAAGGGAGGAAAAAGGGAGCCTGACTGGGGAGAGGCTGGGGAGACTTTTAAAAAGTGAGTAAAGGGAGATTAGAATGACAATATTAAATTTAAAAAAAGCTGATTAGAACAGCCAAAAACACTGGCATAACTTAGTTAATGTGAGAAAAGAATAACAGCAGCTATCTTATGCATACTGACCTAGAGGAAAGGTTGGGAGGCAGGGAAAAGAAAAAGATGGCTAGAAAAAGAGATTATTTGAAGAGATTTGTTAGAGAATTATCTTAGTGATTAGGTGGCTAAGGAGAAGTCAGTTTAAATGTGGAACTGAAAGATAGCCTGAATCTCTGATAAAAAAGAATCATAGCTTTCTCAAAATAGGGGCTAAAAAGCTAGACTAAGGGAAAAATAAGAAATTAAGAACTCTAGACTTGTATGTGAAGCCATGCAGTCTGTGAACAAATTATGTACATTATTCCTATCTGTTTTTTTAAGTCCTAGATTTCTTAGACTATATTAGCAGAGATTTTTGTCCTTAAACCAATCAACTGAACATGAGTATAATGATGACCTACTGTGGAAGACTTGGAGTTAGGTTTCTGTTCTAGCATCAAACCTTAAAGAAAAACAAAACAAAACAAACCATAAAGAATTTTTTCCTATACTGATGTTTGCTTATCTAGTATACGGAGGCATAAACAGCTCTAGGATTCATAATACTGATGAGTTGCTCTACTCAAAGGAAGAAAACTGGTGACGTACCTGGGTTTCCATTAAACACTTACATTTTCTTTATTTGTAGATGAGCTACATATTGCATCTTTCTTCCTGTCGCCGTGGTCCAAAGCATTCGGAGTGCTACAAAGCACCTGTGCCTGCAAAGAGATCGTTTTTGAGAGCATCCAGCAGCCTTCAGCCACAGGTGAGCTGGAAACCCTTTGCCTCCCACCTGAGAAAAAAACTCAAACCCAAGAAAGAGGAGCTACTCACTGGGCTGCATTTTACAAGGTGCTGGTGATGATTTCTGCAGATCAAAAAACAAAACAAAACAAAACTGCCAGTCAGTTCAGCCCCAAATACTATTTGGTTATTGGTCAGTGACGTGGGACATCCCAACTTTTCCTTTCCTCCATTCTAGGAGCCCTATACCTAGTTGATATGTCTCTTCCAATAATAGTATTTAGGGTGCTTTCTGTGATAAATATTAAGACATTGAGTGACATCCTGGGAATAAGGCTCTCATTTCACTTGTATAATCATATATATAGAGATATACATCAAAGATGATGAGTTTGTCCTATGTCTTATATAAACACAATTTATAATTTACTAATCTTCCAGCAATGACTATTGGGAACTAATATTTATTTTGTAATGAATTTCTATCATCCTTCCCATGAGTTTACCTAGTCTTCATGGGTTAGGACATTTAAGCAATTTAAAGAAAATACAAGCAATACAATGTGAAATTTTCACAAGTACTGATAAAAATAGCCATGGAAAGCCTTCCCTAGTGCACTAAAGTGGTACATAATTCACCTAAACATTGAAGGACAAAGTTCTAAAAAAATCTAAACAGTCAAATAGAAGAATTAGAGTAGGTTTAAGACATTGAATTAAAATTACCTTTCAGTCCTTGAGCATTCCCTGATTGAAGATATTAAGATCGCCAACAAAGAATCCTCATGAGTAATAATAAACATTATAAAATGCTTGGCAGGTGCTAAGGATTAAATTTTCATTTATTCCTTACAATAGCTATTTATAAGAAGTGCTATTATTATCTCCATTATTATTGTTTCTTTATTATAAATAAAGAAATTGAGGTGCAGTGAAGTTAGAAACTTGTCAGGGTCACAGTTGGTGAAGTAGTAAGCCTCTGGAATCCAGATACTCTAATACCAGAGCCTACACTCAGTATTTTTACCCACTAAGATACATACAGCACTATTCATATGCAGGTAAGAGCCTATGCCTAAGGGCACTACACCATTTCCTCCATTTTAAAGATAATACTGATTGTGTGTGATAGTTAAAATGAATAGCATTAATTTTCACAATACTATTTAGCTCTGGAAAACTTAAAAACCTTTCAAGGGAAAGATCTAGGACTCCAAGCCCATTATTCCCAAAGTGAAATGCTCTACACTCTGCAGAGTTTGCATGGGATAAAATTCTCATGCCAATGCTGAGAAAGCTTTAGCATGAGTTTCACAGCAAAAGAACTTACATTCGAGCTGTCTGTATTTCCTGAGGTCCTGAAGAATCCAAATGACCTGCAATCAGACACGAAGTTATTCTTGTCCATGCATCCTGTCTTCTGATTTTCTTACTAGTAAGCAATATTAATTTCAAAAGCTGACCTTGTGAACACAGAGGCTCTTGATAGGTACCAATTTCATGGTAAAAGTTATAAGTTAATAGAATCTTAAGAATTTACATGTGTCACTGAAAGAAAAAATGTTGGGAAAATGCACTAACTTAGGGACTTTTTTTATGAATAGAAAAGAATGCTTACCACTCATGAAATCTGAAATTAGAACAAATACTAAAATGGCTGACTAGTAAAACATTCCTTTAGGGCTCAGACCCTGTAAAAACACATGAATTAGCTAACAAAGTATTTTTGTTGGTTTCTTTGCTTCTCTTGAGATTAGACTAGGCATAAAACTTCTACTACTTTCACTCCCATCAATCAATGAATTTCAATTCATACTATCAATCAGTCAATGAAATACTTCCTATTTAAATTTTTCAAATGCAAAGTGACTCCTATCAATGTTATCTTTTTCTTCCGATTGAGCTTGATCATTCTCCTCAAAAATCCTACAGGTCCCCACAGAATTCCAACTTCAAGGCTCTTTAACCACCTTCCATCTTTATCCAACTACCCTGCTTTCTCTCCTAAAAGTTATTTTTTTCCTTGAAGCCTTTACCTCTCTTCTCCCTACCAGTTTCATCAAGGTCTGCAAGAGTGGTAAGGCGGGTGGTAGACAACTCCCCACTGCTAAGATTCGAAAGATCAAGGCAACGTTTTGGGGTTTCTCTGTTGAGACATAATAATACATCAAGATTCCCATTAGGATGTAATATCCTTAATAAGGCAAAGATCACATTATCCTCTTCATTTGAAACACCTCTCAATGACTATCATATAATCTGAACAGTGTCCAAATAACTCTAATTACTTTTGGAAATATTTCTGACATGAGTGAGAAATATCTCCCACCTTTTCTCGACTCCAGCAATATGTACCAGATTTTATCCTCACCGACATATTGAGACAGAATAATTTATTTTAATTGAGGACCAATGCTTATTGACTGAGGTGGGTCTTGACCCCATATTTTCTGCCTTGTGCGCCCTAAACATACAGATTTGATTTCTCCCTGGAGAGACTCAGATACTTCCCAGGTCTATAATTCCAATTTTGTTTGCTAGCTGAGGATCAGGGCATGGCATAATCAGAATTTAAAGTACAATAACAATAAAACTAATATTAATCCTAATAAAGTGACCAACTCATATAATGCAACACAGTTTTCAAATACTTTTCCCAGACATCACATCATTCGATTCTCCCAAGATCCTAGTAAAATAGGAAGAAATTATTATTTCTATGTCACAGAAAAGAAGACTGAGTCATAAGAATCACATGGTTAGTCAAGGGCAAAGCTAATACGTAAAACCCGATCTCTGAGCCAGGATAAATTTTTAAACTCAAAAACTGTTTAGAAAAGCAAAGGATATAAGGTGTGAAAAGAAAAGTGGACTTACTCAAACAAAATGTTTAGGTTTGCAGAATCACCAAAGAGTTTGTCCACTGGAGTTCTAGGAAGATCTGGGCAGATAGTAAAGGAAGTGTCTCTCTCCAGAAGCAGATTTAATATCTTTCTCTGATGGGACCTAAAACTGGGTCCTAATCCAGGACTTCCTTCCTCTCTTGATGAAAAGAGTTCTGCAGACATCGCCTCCGACTACTATAAAAAAAAAAAAAAAAAAAATCTAGCTAAGAAAGAACGTCACCTATATAGACACACCACAGATCGTCCAGCTTTCACAATCTCCTCCACCCTTCCCAGCGGCGGCCAAGCGGATCAGTAATGGAGGAGGGGCATCCCCTAAACGGCGAATCACAACTTGGCTTGAAGGTTAACTGGCCCGAAGCGCCTTGGCCTTTTCATTGGAGCCTGAACTTACCGAGAGGTAACCCCCGGACTTTAAGGAGGAAATTGAAAGAAGGCTTAACTTGTTTGAGGCCACACAGTTCGTGACTCCTAACCGGAAAGAATTCAAGTCTTCTAATTTGCGACAATGTCAATTAGGTCCCTTAAACTTCCGTTTGTGGGGCTCCGACTGGACTCTGAGGGAACAATGGGGTCTCAGTATTCTGTTGGAGACGGCTCTGTGCTTACCTCAAGTTTGAGTCTGAAAGTTACCTTCAGGAGAAAGGGAAGTGGGTGAGTGGCGGGGTCAGTCGCAATTCTGCTTCTTGACTGGATAGGACGGGGTTAGGGTTTACCACTTCTCTCCTCAGCGGGTCGAAATTACAGCCTCGAAGGAAGACTATCAACAGCCACAGGCCTTGATCGTTCAAACCTTCCGCCCTCCCAATAACCTATCATGATTGCCTCCAAACTGCGTGAGCCAATCTTCGCGCGCCCGCCCAGGACTCCCTCGACCAATCGTGAGGCATGAGCTTGTGCGGCAGGAGCGCAATTTGCCCCGCCTCGTAGCCAGCGCAGGATGCCGATTGGCCCGCCAGTACTCGGCAAGGGACTTAGTAAGCCCCGCCCCACAAGGGGCCTAGCGCTCCATTGGCTCTCTCTCTGGCCAATTGCCACACCCATCTTGAGCTCTCCCTGCGCTCAGCCCCTTCGACCCCGGGAGATTTAAATTGCACTTCATTACGACGTCTAGTCGTTAGGTTAATACCTGGAGAGATTAGTTTCGCTAGGAAAGTGTTTTAAACTTTTCTTTTTCCTTGTTTCTTTCTCGTGCTGTTACATGGACCTTCCCTCATAGGTTGCTAGCCTTCCACTGGAGATGGAGTATTTGCCGCCGGTGTTGCAGACGTGGCGAAACAGGTGTGTGTAGTTATGCTAAGCGACATTAGCTCCTTACTAGAGCTTTTCTCGTTCGGTGTCCCTTTAATGCACAGCATCTTTGAGATGCTAGATTGTGTGAGTAAAGGAAAATACATTTATGGAAAGCAGAGGAGTTGAATCATCTCTTGGCATAATCCTTGTCACAGTCCAAAGTATCCCAAACTTTGGTAGTTTGTAAAAATCTGAACATTCACTAGGTGATATTAAAAATTTACTCTTAATTTGGGGGATTCGCTTTTAAATAATTATGTGGGACTGATGGTGAGTATAGATGAAACAAGGGCGATTATTGGGTGATGAGTAACCAGGGATCAGAGCTGCATACTAATCACCTGGAGATCCTGTTAAAATGCAGATTCTCATTCAGTAGATCTGGAGTGGGGCCCAAGACTCTTTAACTAGCTCCCAGCCGATGCTGATGCAGCTGGTACAGGGACCATACTATGAGTAGCAAAGCATTATGCTATTCTCTTCTCTGTATATTGGACATTTTCCATAAAAAAACTGTTTAAAATAACCTTGGAAGCTCTTTAAAATACAGGCCCCCGCAAATGACGATTCAATAGGTCTAGAGTAGGGCCCAGGAATTATCAAGGTCCCCAGGTGCTATCCACGCAAATGGCTTGCAGACCACACTTTGAGAAACAAATCAGAAATGCAATCTTTATCTGGTGTCAAGATCTTGGTGGTGGCAGTGGCTGAGAGGTGCAACATAGTCAGCTGGATTTTGTCCTAATATCCTTTTCATCTGTAGATTCTCCTTCCCCAGAAAGGAGGTGTGTGAAGAGTTTTTGTCCTCTAGGATAGAGATGGTGAGTGTGGGAGTCAGCACAGAGCCCTGCCATGCCAGGTAAGTTTGAAAATCAGGCTGGGGATTAAGAGAGTGTGGGATGAGTTGGTTCCTGCTTTGATAACTATAATCATACTTCATGTGGTCACTATATACTTCCCTACAGGTGGGAAGTAGAGACAGATGAAACTGTCCTACAGCGGCGGCAAAAGCAAATAGATTATGGCAAGCGCACACCTGGTTACCAGTGCTTTCTGCAGCAGGTCCCCAAGTGAGTGCCCTTGTGCACAGTCACAACAAGAGTGTCAATCAAGTGTCTTTGGTTCAATGTCAGGTGATGGAAAGATATTTGAATCTGAGTGCTCTCATAAAGTTGCAGCATTACTAAAACGAATTCCCCTGCAATCTAGCCCCAAAACTGTTTCCATTTTTTTTCAAATGAAACAAATCATAGTTGGCCATAAGATTTTTCTCTTGTCGATCTTTTTAAAAAAACTCCATGATTGCTAATGAAGTTTTTTTTTTTTAACTACTTTTACATCTGCCTCGAGCAGATTTGGCTAATTACAACATACTTGCCCCATTACATATAAATTTACGTGCATATATACTAAATGTATGAAAAGGTAGAATGTATTCGAAAGGGATGTCAAATACTGTCTTTGATATCTATCTTGACTTTTGAGGAAATTGGAATATCTAATTTAATCGTCCCAGAAAAAAGAATATTAGGAAATTTTAGAAAGTTTGATGTTTAATCTGATTTGAAGAGTTATTTTTTCTGTTGGATCAAGGGCATCAATCATACCTTATTCTCAGAGAATCCCTAACGAATCTCCTGATAAGCAGTGAGCTGTGCTCCTTCACTTTGACCTCAGTTTGACACATATTTGTCGTTGCCAGGGCACAGAGGCAGCCAGGACTTCACCCTCAAACACCAAACAAAAACAGGAGGTACAGCCGCCGCTCCTGGGATGCCCAGATCAGGCAGTGGAGAAGAGCCCTACATTCTTGGGACCCACCCAGCCAGCCTCTGCAGGGCATGGGGCCTAAGGGGTGTGTGCACTATTCTTGGTTCCTTTCTTGAATGGTGGACTGAGCTCTATCTCTCCCCCACTTTGCACAAATTTAGCTTTCACTGGCTGAAAAGGGAGAGTCTGAATGAGGTACATGTTCCTCTGACTCTGCTGCCTTCCCAGGCAAGAGATGGAGAGTCTCTTAGAGCCAATGGATTCCACCTCTTTGGATGACCTCCTGGATGACTGGCTCCAGCCCCTGGAACTCTCAGAGAACTTGGATGGAGACCAAAGGGAACCCAGGCAACATCCTCTGCTAAAACCCATTGGAGCAGGATCAGAGAGGGAGTCTGGTCCATGAGGTCACAATCAATATGGGCTTCAAGGTAGTAGTCCAAGAAAAGAAGTAAAATGGGGCTGCAGGAAAAAATGGCATGACATGAATAAAAAAAACCTTGAGAACTAAAACTGGCATAAGGAGATTTAATTATAGTTTGTAATGGGGGGATTTGGGCTGCACTGGGGGCTATTTTCTATTTGATGAAAGGGGTGTGATCTTTTGAAGCAAAGCCTGAAACCTGACTCGCAGGGTTTATTCTCTAACTGTCCCAATTTCTTTCAATATTTTGCAAATAAGCCAATGCTAACTTAAGTTCTTATATTTGGTCATTGAATTTTAGTTTAGCATGGTTAATAATAAAAAGGGGATCACCTAATAATGAAAAACAAGGGTTTCAAAGCCTCAGACTACTTTTTTGTCTACCACATGGGCAGTCACTTAACCTCTCCAGCGTTTCATCTGTCAGGTAAGGAGATTTTGTCTCATTTGATGATTGTAAGCAATAATGAGAATATATATTTAATGTTTGTAGCACAGGGCCTGGCACATGAGTGCTCCACAACAGCAATTATTGGAAAACACATCTCCTGTAATGTCATGGCCCCTCCCCCTACTCCTTTTGTCAAGGGGAAATGTGCAGGGCAAAGAAATGTGAACTACATCTTCCCTTCGCCCACATTTTCTTGTTAAGTACCTCACTTTCCCTCTATTTTTCTTTTTCAGTTTGAGACTTGGTAGCTCCTTCCTCCTCCCTTCCCTGGCTGTGAAGAAGATCTCCACCACTGGTTCTACTTTCTAGCTGATCACAATTTACTTATCTGGCCCAACCTTGAGTGGGGCACAAAATATTTAGGGAAAACATGTCTTTCAGGGGACTTGTTGCTAAATGTAATAGTGAGGATTTACTTGCATCAATCACTTATACTTTTCAATCGAAAAAGAAATCTAAAATGCTACCCTACAAAGGCATTGTTTAAAAACTCTCCTTTTTCATCTTTTTGCCTGTCTCTCTTATCCTTCTTTGATACTGAGACTCAAATTTACATAAGGCCCAGAAAACAACTAGCTGTTCCCCAACCTCTTCACCTACTAACATCTACATTCAGTCTTTTCAAAAAGGACTTAAACTTTGGCTGAGGTAGGAGGTGGTGACAATGGTGGAGATTTAATAAAAGGTGGCTTCCTCTTCCTGAAGAGGAAATATAGCACCATCAACATCTCTTCCTCATCTGCCTGTTTCTTCCCTCCGTGTCTTAAGGAAAGTGGTCCAGCTGTAACCACCGTACTTCCCCCACCCCCCACGCGAGCTACTGAACCGCCTATGATGTCATAATCACAATCCCATTACCTCATCCTCTTGGGGGGGGGGTGCGTAGAGGAAGGAGAAGGAGCGAACAGCTCTGGGCCCTATTCAGCTTTACAAAGTGTTTTGGGTGACGGCTAGTTAGAAAACCAAGTGGGGACGGCCCCGCAACTCTTATAAGTCCTAAATTTATAAGGTTCGAGCCGATCCGGCCGCTGGAAGAGGGGCTCCTGGGACTCGGAGCAGGCCTTAATAGGCGCTTGGACTACAGTTCCCAAAAGCCTTCACGTCGAGGACGGGTCCTCTGCTGGGGGAAGGGGGATTCCTTCAGAGTGGAGGCGGTAGAAGAAGGGACTGGAGAGCAGGTGAGAGGAACCTTGGTTAATTCTGTTACGTGACTGGAACCGATTAGGGGGCTCTACTTGGGTCCATGTAGGAATGGAAAGTGGGAGCGCTGGCTTTGTTTACCTTTGTCTGACACGGCCTCCCCCGCGGGTTTCAAGACATGCCTCCAACTGGGCCCGTCCACCTTCTGTAATATTTTGGAGGGGGTAATTAGATAGTGAAGAAACCGCCCTCATCCCTAAATCAAAGAGCCGAGCTCGTTCCTGACAGCGCTATCCAAGAAAGACTTTGAAAACGAAATGACGCAGGTCTCGAGCCTGCGCGGGTTGTTCAGGGGTACTCTGTGAACCGGAGCGATCCCCCACTCTCCTCAGAGGCCCGTTGGTTCGCGCCGGCGCCTTTTAAGGGCTCCGTGGGGCGAACGGAGCGCTCAGAGCTGCTCCGGCCGCGGCCCTGGGAGCTAGAGGAGCCGCGGTAGGTGGCGGAGGACAGGTGGCGCTGGGGCCTCGGGGCGGGCACCTCGACCGTTCGTCCCTTCTTCCCTCTTTCCCCTCCCCCAACCCTGCCTCCCTCGCCGCACCGCCTCGCTGGCCGCCTCCGCGGGGATAGCACGGGACCCGGTGGGGGAGGGGGTGGCGGAGTGCTAAGTCCCAGATCCTCTCCATCCCCCATGTCCTGAGTTCGCTTCTCGTGGCCAGATGATGGAAGCTGATTGGAAACAGGCAAGCGACACCCCCTTGAGTGAGCCCTGGTGCCCCCCTCCCAGGGGCCAGAGGACGCCCATGCCCCACCCCGCGGGGACAGGCAGGGCAACCGAGGGAGAGGTTGAAGATTGGAGGGGGGCCTAGCATTTTGCTTCTTCATCGGGGTGGGGGGAGGGGTGCCCC